CCAGGGTGCAGCCCAGCGGGTGCAGGCAGCTGGCGCTGGCTGCTCCAGGGGCCTATATCAGGGGCTGGGGTGAGTGGGGAGAAGTGGAGGCCTGGAGCTGCACCAGGGAGCAAAGCGGAGGGAACTGTAAGTGGGTGCAGGGCACGGGATGGGGGGGCACAGCTCTTGCTGCTACACACATCCTGGGAAGGCCGTGGGGCTGCACTGGCTCTTCCCGGGAGGCACGTGGCCACGGATCTGTGTATGGGATGAGAGCAGGCTACCACTGCAGGCTGGGGCCGCTGGCGGCACCAGGCTCTTCCTGGCACTTGGTGGTGGCGCTGGAAGGGCAGGTTGTGGGGGCTACAGTGAATTTTGAGGTGGCAGCAGCCCCCTTCCCAGTGCCACTGCCCGCCCCGAGTCTGCTGCAGCTTGTTCTCATCTCGCGTGGGGATCTGGAGGCACATACCCCACAGGAAGAGACCAGCACAGCCCTTCCAGGGTGCGTGTAGCAGCAAGAGCCGTGCCCCCCACCACGCACCCACTTAACAGTTCCTTCTCCTTTGCTCCCTGCTGCAGCCCCGGGAGCAGCTGATGAGCTGCGCTGCACCCCTCCCTCTGCCCCTTCCCTAGTCCCAGCCTTACTACCTCCCTCCCTCCCCACCGTGGGAACGTATCCCTATTTCTGACATTATAAACTGGGTTCCCTTTATGAGAATTCGATTTATGCAGTTTTCCGGGAACGCACGTACCGCGTAAATCGAGGGAAACCTGTAATTGGAACTATCGACTTCCCTAGCAAAAGTTACTGAAAGTAATGCATCAGCTAGTGTCCAGAGCAAGGTGCTCCGATCTCTTTCTGAAGTCATGTCAATCCTTCCTCTTTCAGACACAGGGAAAAATGGAAAACAAGCCTGTGCTAGGAAGAACTTTATCTTCAGGGTGACTGGATTCGTTTTCTCCAGCCTTCCTAATGACCACAAAACAAGAAATAAAGAAATTCTTTTAAAGAAAGACAGAATAAAAGTAAGCTAGAGGCATCTTTCTTCTGCAAAGTTAAGGGCACATTATGAGACTGTAGCTGTGATGACAGTGTTTGTAATTCTATCTTAAATCATAATAAAGCAAGAAACTTAACTCTGCAACTCATCTGCTTGGTACTGTTGCAGAGACAACAGATCAATTAGTATGCTCTTTACTTGGTCCTTCGCTTTACTCTCTCATTATTTCTGTGTAATAAACGTCTAAGTATATACAAGTGTGGAATAACAGGTTTATATAGCCTGGTAGTTTTCTAGTAGCGCGCAGACCCACTTCAACAACAAACCCAGTTGAAACCACATGAGAAATTACATTTCTTTACATGTTTATAAAACACTGAGATAAAAAGGGTACCTTGTACTTGGCTAAGTGCATAGTCTTGAGACTGGAAAAAATAAAAGGGTATCCACTTGAACCAACTTCGTGCAAGGAATGCTTATTGAATACATATACATTAAGAGCCATTTACTGGAGGAAGAGCCTGGACAGATGTAACGCCTGAAGAGCCGCAAAGGCCCCTGAAGCCCATCAAAGGGTGAGCAGACAGACCGACATATCCTTTGAAGCATCCCAAGATGGCAGAAGCACTGTGTGCACACTCCGCAGAGCACGGCAGGGGAAAGCTGAGTCCTCCAGCATCCCGCAGAGCTCAGCTCCCCACCCCAAAGGGGAAGGGGAAAGAGAGCAGAGCACACTGTCAGTGAGCACTCTCTTGTGCACTTTGCCTCCATTCCTCTGGAGCGCACCCACCAGCGCCGCAGCGTGCATGGCCTCTGGACTCCTGGCTCCGGTAGAGGGGCACGGAGGCAGGGAACTGCTGCGGAGCGGAGCCTGCAGAGCACTCAAGTGACAGCTCTGCTACCCTGCGGGGCAGGGAGGATGGGGAGAGGAAGCGCAGCTCCAAGTCCCAGCGGCTCCCTGTTGCACCCCTTGGCTGCGTGCAGACATGGTGATTTTGAAGCACCCCAACCAGGGGGGTGCAGCAGGGAGCTGTGCATCGGTCTGCAGCTGAAGCGTCCATTTTTCAAGTGCAGCTGCCTCCGAATTGCTTCAAACATTGCACCTGCCCTTACCCAGAGGCCTGTACAGGAAAGCCAGGGGATGTGCAGCTACGGGGTTGGACTGGTCTTTATCCAAACGCAACCCTTCTGCAGCTGCCGGTCCAGCTGACCTTCTTAGCCGGCTCTTCCTGCTCTCTTTTCCCTTTTGGCCTTTGTACCACCTGCCCATTCCTCCTGCCTCGCTCTCCTCACTTGCTGACCCTCTATTGAGTCGCAGGCCTCAGGACCCGTCCTGCCCCCCACCACCTGTTTCCTCAACCACTGCTCGCGCGCTGCAGAGCTGCGCTGACACAAACCTGCAACCACATCAACTTCCTCCAGTAGAAATGGGTTTTCTCCTGTTCCAACTTCTCCATGTTTCCTGCTAAAACACCTCTGCTATTCCAGCCTAACCCCATGCTCATGATGGTGGCTGCTCTTTCATAGCTCCTCAAGCCCTGCTCTCCTCTCTTCACATAAGGTCTGGTCATTTGCTTTCAGAAGAAAGCTGACAAAATACAGCAGGGCCTTCCTCCCCCCCTTGTACCTCAGCCTGTCTCTCCTTCCTACAACTCCCTCCTCCTCCCCAGATGCTCTTCTAACCCCTCCACTTGTCCTACTGGACCCCAACCCATCTCTTGCTCCACGACCGAGGCCTCTAAGTGCCACAGGTAACACGATACTAACCGTGTCCCCATTACCCGCCAGCATGCGGGAGCTGGCCAGGACACCATGCTCAACAGCCCTCCTCCTCCCCAAAAAACCCACCACGTGGACCATGTGCTCCTTAAATGGTCAGGACCACAATTTTCTGGGCCACCCAAAAGACAAGCTGTGAAAGCTAAGGAGTCGAGTCAGGAGCTGTTCATCTCTACCTGCCACCTCACCTGTGACTTTGTGCAAGTTTCTCAATCTGTAAAATGGGCTAATACTGCCAGGGTGCCGAGAGACTAAATATTTATGAAGTGCTCAGAAACGTGCTATAAAAAACCATAGGGAAACATCATTACTACTTTAAAAGTTTGTGTAACTGTATTTTGGAAGACTGCTCCCTAGATGCATTTGCTTGCAAGTTTTTAATGCGTATCAAGTTTATTTTCTACCAAAAGAGCCATTAATTAATTAATATCAGAAAAACCATATTCTACAGGGACCTTAATGACTCAGTCTTTCACAAGGAAGGGAGACAATTTTCTAGATCAAGTAGCTCAACCAAATCTTCCTCCTCCTCCTCATCCAACCTGAAAATGAATTTTGTATGAAGGGTACTTAGAAGGCACTACTGGATAGGACACCAACCATAACCAAGCCAAAAAACAGAGGAAACATCAGATCCACTGAGGTGAAAAGACACAAGCACAACGATGTCTAGTTGTACTCACAACAAACTGGTCGATGTCCCTTTCCAGGCCCATGTTCGGCAAGTCGGGCATCATGTGTGCCACCACTTTAAACCCGGCGTCCTTGGCCAAGTGAAATGACTCGCATACGGCCTTCACGGTGTGGCCCCTGGGGAGAAGGAAAAGCGATGAAAGAAACCCAAACACCCATGTGCACGGTCATCGGTTGTCACACTGAGAGCGAACAAGAGCAGTCTTGGGCTGCACAGGGAGCAGGTGCATTTTGATGCATTTAATCAGCATTAGAGTCTAGCAGGCAAGTCTCCCATTATTCTCCCTTGACAGGAGAAATGAAGGGATGAGCCTGATTATGAACTCAACACCATCATTTCAGTTACAAAAGCAAAGTTATAATCTAACCAGAAAACATTCGAGCCTTTTGCTTCCTCAACAGGGGCACCGTGAGACTGGCGCAAGGGTCACAGCAGAACAGATTTCTACCGTGCAGCCTGGAGCTGCCTTCACCTTGTTACGGCCAGGAAGTTAGCTGTTCGAAGCTGCTGAAATATTATTTGCATTAAAACAGCACCAAGCAGGCTAAAATGGGATCAGAGCCTTGCCATTCTGGGGCTGTATGAGAAGGAGCTGCTCTAACTTAAGACAACACATGGGAACATAACAGGAGAGGAGCAGAAGTGAGAGGTAAATAGTCTCACCTGATTACTCGGCCTAGCTAGCAGTCCCCCCGTGCTGCACTGCTTGCCAGTATGGACCGTTCAAGCCACCCCTTTTGGAAAAAGGCAACTACTCTCTAGTCTCTCAGATCGGTGGGTGTAAAACGTTCAGCCTGAGGGCTGGATCTGGTGTCCCGTCCCCACCCCCGGCTGCTTTCATTTGGCTTCGCCCCCATCGATCCAATCCACAAACCAGTGCAGAAGCCAGAGGAGGACAGAGACGCCCGAGTAACACCTGGAGCCAAGAGTGGAACTTTTAAACGATTGACCACAAGCAAGAAACTTTCCCCTTCCACCTCTACAGCTCAACAACTTTCTGTTTCTACTCTGGCAGCGACCCTTTCCCCCCAGCAAGGCAGCTGCTAAGAGGCCAGGCCAAGAGCAGAGCTATTCTCCCCTCTGTTCTTGCTGCTACTCCCCAAGTTCTGGGCTGAGAGCTCTGGGGCCTCTGAAATAAATGGTGTTCCCTGCCCAGGATGCAAGGTCCAGGAGATCCACCTCCTCTCGCACCTCCTCTTCCTTCATCCTCACTTCCCTCCTATTATTTTTGCCCTTTTGAGAACTCCTCCACTACATCCTGCATCGGCCAGCGACTGTACTTCATTGTGATACGCCTTGAGCTGTGGAGTGCTATCCGGAGAGTCCTGTCAGCCCCTTCCCTTGCTAAACTCAGCTCCCATTAACCAACTGCTCCTCTAACACTGTGGACCTTTTCCTTTCCCCGTGCTCTGCAAGATCCACCCCCGTCGCCTCATTTACATGTTTGCGTACGGTTTTTTACGAGTGCCGTTTTATTTTGTACGGTGTTAAAAAGCATGATGACGTTTTTATAAATCTGTTCTGGGGTGCTATTATTCAGCACTTTGGGAAGCTGGAGGGGAAGGAACGAAGAGTCACTTCATAAATAAAATGATTTCCTTATTAGAAGAAGGATCCGAGTTGCATCAATAAGTCAATGCCTAAACCTAGATTTAAATATTTTTCTGCCTCCCAGCAATAGCAAGCGCACAAAACCCTACTAATGACTTATGATACATAATGGAAAGCAATTTCCAAACATATAGGCTAATTGCTTGTAATCTGACATTTAGCTACAAGCAAAATGTGAAAATTACAAAAAAAAAAAGGAATCATCACTACACACACTAAATGAAGAGAAGGAACCTAGAGCCATCCTAACAGAGAAATACTGATATCAATCTGCTCTAAAAATATTCCAATTCACTGCTTTAAAAAGCAGAAACGTATTTTAAAAAACGCAGAAGTTGGCATAGATATGTATGTGAAAACAGCAATTTTCTACTCTGAGGGAGTCTGGAAAGCTTGCAGCAATCTCTTAGACACATTGCAAGCAGTTGCAATAGTTCCCAAACCTTTAAAAATCTAATCTTGTAATGGATTCCTTATGAGTGAAATTAAAAGCCTGCCACATCCTGCCTCACTCCTCCGCAGGGCCAATACCAAGAGAGGCAAGGCTTCACATGCCAGCCTTCGAAGCAGCAGAGATATACGGTTAAAGGTGCTGCAAGAAAAAATGTAATTGGATGGTCAAAACAAGAGAAGAGATTAAAAACAGAAGATCACAGAGGTGGATAGCAGAGGTACTTGGAAAACTCCAGCTTGGGACAGCACAATGGTTTTAAAAGAATTTGTTAAAAAATAAGTTCAAGAAAGGTAAGTGTTAAGCTGGAGGACTGTGTCAGAATTCACCACTGATTAATGCACCTAGTAAAGAATGAGGAGCGTCTACTTCCTTTTGCTCTTGGTTATTTCCCTTCACAAAGCTCTGGTATGTAAAGGAAGAACAGTGCTGTCTGCGGGTAGGTATCTACTCAGCTGCATGGCTTGTTCAGGAGGCTAGATTTATTCTGGGACGCCACAGCTGTTTGCCTAGCCAGGCATTGAATCTTGCCTTTAAGCAGCAATGGGACTATCTTCACGCTCCAGACACGCTACAGCAGGGATGGGCAAAAATGCAGCCCACAGACCAGATCCGGCTTGCCAACTGACCAGATCTGGCCTGCAGCTGCTCTGCATGGGGCCAAGCCTCATCCGCTCTCACCAGGCAGCCCAAGCCACACTCCCGCACATGCCTGCCAGCCTGGGCCCTGATCAGCATGCGCAGCTTCTAGCGGGGCTGTTCCCAGTGCTGCTCTGCTCCTCGGGTCCTCCACCTGCTCCTGACGCGCTGCTCTGGGTAGGTGGGAGGGAAGCTTCACCTACTGGAGGTGAGGCGGGCAGAGCAGCAGCCAGCCAGCTCTAGCCATGCTGGGACCGGTGCCACCACAAGCTGTGTGCTGGCTGGGGCTGGGAGCATGGCATGGGCTGTCCCATGCGGAGGGCCGTGGGGACAGCCGCAGACCACACTGCCAGTGCAAGCTCTGCTGCAAGCACCCCCTGCTTCCCCTCACCCTGGCTGGCTCCCAGGACCTAGCCCAACGAGCACCCTCCCACCCCACAGGGCAGGGTATGCAGAGTGGACTGCGGCTCGGCCTGGGCCCCAGCCCCAAGCTGTCGCCACCCGGCCTCGCCAACCCGTCCCGCTACCAAACACTGCTCCCCAAAGCCCCACAGGGAGTTTTGGTAAGTTGTTGCACGGGGCCCACAACAGCTAATCAAATACTCCCTATGCGGCCCTGGGGCCTAAATAATTGCCCACCCCTGAACTACAGACTAAGCTTGGGAGAAAACAGGCTTCGGAGTTTAAGTTCAAATCTCCATAAGAAAACCTCCGGTGTTTTCCGCTATAGCAGAATTGTCCCTTCTAAGTTCTCTTTGCTTGTCAAACCATATTCAAATTTCTCAGTATATTACCTATTGTTTTGAGTATTAAAAATCTTAAGTAAGCAACTGGCCTGTGAGAGAGCAGATTTATATAAAATAGAGGAAAATCAGAAAGATGCCCAGCATTGCAACAGCAGAGACTTTTCTTCTCCCATCCTCGCAGCTTTCAGGAGAACAACCCGTTATATACTCTGTTCTCTCTGTACAGCACTGTTTGTGTGCGAGTGGTTCAGGACCACAAAGAGCAAATTATAGACTTTTCTTACATTCCCCAAATCCTGAAACACTATTTTGAATGACCCCTGATTAATGTATGAATGGGTATCATTTCTGGCTTTATACATGTCTGTCTGCTGAACACTTACCTAGACCAGTCCCATGCTCTACATGGTCTAAGTGCCCTCTCTGTCCTTTAATATCCTTCAAGGATGTCACACAGTTTACAGGGCTTTTAACTCGCTCAAGCCTGCAAAACAAACTGCTCAGGACAAGGGTGCTGACTGTTGTTTGGACATATCCTATTTACTCTACAGGGCTGCAAGCATTTATGGAGCCATAAAAACAGACAGCATACCACACTATAAAATACTGGTTGGACAGGAACACCAGCATAATCTTATACAACATTAAACTGGAACCATGAAGTATTCATTTCCAGACACTTTCTAGAGCAATGCTTCTCAACCTTTCTAGACTTAAAGCACCCCTTTAGATGTCAGCTCTTAGCTTTCCCATGTTTCTGGACTGTGGAAAAATGGTAAGAGCAATTCTTCTGTTGCAAAGAACTGAGGAAAAACCACAACAGGGCAGAATGGATTTGACACTACGGATACCTATTTGAAATATCCGGGTTTAATCTTGTGAATCATGTTAAAACCCTAAATTCCTAATTAATACTGTATGGAGCCTGTAAAAAGGTCTCATGGCACCTGGCTTGAACAATCACAGCTCTCGAGTGCGACAGGGGAAAAACCCACAAACAGTCAGTCACATTAAGCGTTTCACCAAAATACTCTTCTCACCTGTTTGTATCTCTGGCCACATCCTCGTACACGCTTTGCACACCGATTTCCAGCCTTGTGCAGCCATATGACAGCATGTCACTCAGGTGACGCTTCAGGCAGTAATCAGGCCTGGTCTCGATTGTGATCCCAATGCACTTTGTGAGGCTCCGTTCTGAATATCTGCAAACAGACAAAAAACGCCCCCCCCGTCTTTGTTACGATCAGAAATCAGCATAGGCAGTCTTAAAAACAGTCCAAAGACTTCCAAGTGCCAGCTTCTTGTAATCCTCCGAGCTAAAACCAGGAACGGGGTCACAGAACAAGACAGCCTCGTCATGGAAACAGACCCAACATCTTCACAACGCAAAAATGACTAATTACACACGTGTAACGGTATTTTTATCTAAAGTGAAATAGCAAAATACTTTTTCAAAAACAGTATCTGTTGGGAAGATTCCCAGCCCTCTGCAGCAACAGCCAAATTTGAGGCCTGGATAACAGAAGAGAAAGTGGGCTATAAAATTTAAGAGGGTCAGGGATTAGCACCCCCTTTTATCCTAAGAGTCAGCCTGACTTTTACCCACCTAATTTTTGCATACAAGTATCTGGCTCAAGTGACTCCACATACAGCAGAACCTCAGTTCAGATGAAACATTAGACTATCGGTTCATGTGGTTTTTATCCCTGGGGAATACAGTTATGCTCTCAGGAACTAAGAGCCAAGGAGCATGATTTAGACCCAAGCTGCTATGTTTCGATAACACCACATACAGGGAGTCTACACAAAGCTCCAGAGCATCTCTCTGCCTGATTCAGTCCCGCCAGTTCAAACCCAACGTGGCACAAGCAAGTTTCATTACAAGGTTGTTTTTTTTTTGTGATGTGATGCACACACCACATCCATTGACAAACGATATTTTAAAAAATAATTAAAAAAAAAACAACACACCTTTCCATTAGTAATTCATACTCAGTAGGTCACCAGAAACCCTAATTCAGTGGTGGTGAAGTAGGGTTAATAAAAAAAAGAAATCAAAAGAAAATACTTTAAAGCAGCTTTTAACCAAGGATCTGAAAGGGAAGAATGCATTACGGGTCATAGCTTCCCCCCAAATAAGTAATCGTACCATCTCTTGCATTTCAAGAATCAGTTCACCCACCACTGAAATGCAGCCACCTCTGCTGTGCAATACAAACAGCAGCGCTACGTAGAAACTCGGAGCAGAAAGCGAGGAAGTCCCATCCAAATGAACCTGCAGGAGTGATAGCCCTTATCTACCCAAATCCTACTCTTGGGCCGCCCACAGGCATTACTGTACATTTGTGCCAGGAGAAAAGCCTTTATCTTGGCACAAAAAGAGAGAGTACCGACTCTTCCTCAAGAAGTTAGACGAGGAAGATCTCCCTCCTCTTAATCTAACTTGAACACAGCTGTAAGCTTCTCTTAGGACAGATGCACCCAATATCCCATAGACCTCTGTTCTCCCACCCACTCTCCCAGAGAGAGAGGGAGGGAGGGAGGGAGAGCACTGGCCTGGGGGCAAGCTGTCAGGGACCCCTGTGCAGACCTTCCTTGGAAAACGCTCCCCCACAAAATCAGCTGATTGCCAGGGGAAGAGCTATTCTCCTGCAGCAGGAACGCCCCCCAAGAGCCCCAGGAGGCTTGCCATGGCTTGACCTGTAGGAGCAGAGAGAGGCAGAAGGCAGCTGCACTGTGATGGCAAGGCTCAGCGAGTTGGGTATCCAGAGGCTGGGCTGCATATGTGATGATTTAAAAGCTGGCAGGGCTGGGAACCAGGATGGGGGGCTCTCCTTGCCATGCTTCTCAACGCCCCCAGCTTTACATCACTGTGTGCGCAACCCAGCTGGGTTGCACATGCAGGGATTTAAAAGCTGGTGGTCCCTGTGCCTCTAGCTGTGAAACTGCCTATTGACAGCCTGCCCCCTTCCCAAGCAGGGGAGAGGGCAGACTGTCAATCAGCAAGCCCCCGCAAGGGCAGGGGTGATCCCAGGAGCAGACCTCTAGTTCCCCTTGCCTGGAGAGCCCATCTATGCCGCTCTCCAGCCAGGGGGCTGAAATGCACGTGTGCTCCAACTCCTGGCCTAAGTTTCTAGCAACGGCAATTTTACAGAAATACTTCTCACTGGAAATTATACCGTCTTAGGAGGAGGAGGTATCTTACTGACTAGAAGCAATGAGGACCGCAACTGGAAAGAGGGGGCCGCCCCTAGCGAAGTGTCCATTTTCACTGCACCAGGTTATTTAGTCCACGTTGATGGAGGAAAGAGCAGCTCATGCAGGAACTTTGCACCACTTCCTACAGCACTTCAGTAGATGCATCTTGGAGCTCTCATCCGACTATCGACCCCACTCAGCTTGCAAGATTAGACAATATCACCGCACGATGCTTCAGGGCACACACTGGAAATTACCAAACCAAATAAGCCTCAAGAACTTACGATTATAGCGTGCGAGGGTTCGACTTAACTACAGAAGCAAGGGAATACCAAATCAAGACTGATATTAGGATCCCTCCACAAGGCAAAGACAAATTAAAAGATACTCGCTAGTCCTCCCAGAACCATTAAAGCCCTTTGGGTTAATGATGTGATATTCTGGGAGAAGAGCCATACAACAAATGGCCTTTTCTTGTATTCCACAGTTCACAGATCATTCTTTTGATCTACTAACCTAAAACATACTTGAAAAACTTCAGCTGGCAGGATGCCCATCTGACACGCTACTGAATAATCAGCGAGCATGTCTGAGAGCGTACTGCCGGCGTGACATTCACCAGCATGTCCGACAGTGCAAAACTTTGCCTTCTGGACAGCACACGTCATCACGTGGACAGTGTGCATCATCACAGCAGAGGCAATACAAGGAATAAGCCACCAGCAATACCGTACAAAAAAGAAAGAGGCAGAAAAGAGACAAAAATGATTCCCTCCGCCTGAAGTAAAATGAGGCCAAACTCCAAACTGTTGAATATACTGAATATCTGAAGGCCCTTAACTACAGCCGTTACAAATAATACCAGTAGAATAGGTAGTGACACTCTCTGGGCATGTCTACACGTGCATTTAAGCATGCCTAGATGCGCACTGAAGCGTGCCTAAATTTAACAGGCATTAGCTTAATGTGTATTAAGTGGGGTTAGGCAGGTGTCTACACGTGCAGGCATTAAAGTGTTGGCACTAAAGTTAGTCCCAAGTCAGTCCACACACACAGCGTTAATGAGCTTTAACTATTCACACCTACATTTGATACCTGCATTTTCAGGTATCGAATTTAGGCGCAAATAGCCTAAATTCACCATTTTTAATATGCAGTAAGGGCGCGCATGTGTAGACGTGCACCCTTAACGCTCATTAACTTGGGCTAATGCGCATTAACGCATAACGTGTAGACACACTCTCTGTGCTTTAAATAAGTGCCACTGAGCTGTAATTAAAAAAAGTGAACTAGGAAAACAAATTAAATGGATGTCATAGTATCAGGGGGAGGACATGAGCAAGGAACTAAAGCTTATTAGTTTCAGGATTTGTAATCAGCACTGTCTACTTCAAATCACTGAGGTCCCCAGGACCTGCCTGGTGGCACAGAAGCGGAAAGGGATCTGGGAGTCCTAGTGGACTCCAAGATGAACATGCGTCGGCAGTGTGACGAAGCCATCAGAAAAGCTAATGGCACTTTATCGTGCATCAGCAGATGCATGACGAACAGATCCAAGGTGATACGTCCCCTCTATCGGGCGCTGGTCAGACCGCAGTTGGAGTACTGCATGCAATTCTGGGCGCCGCACTTCAAGAGGGATGTGGATAACCTGGAGAGGGTCCAGAGAAGGGCCACTCGTATGGTTAAGGGCTTGCAGGCCAAGCCCTATGAGGAGAGACTGGGGCACCTGGACCTCTTCAGCCTCCGCAAGAGAAGGTTGAGAGGCGACCTTGTGGCTGCCTATAAGTTCATCACGGGGGCACAGAAGGGAATTGGTGAGGCTTTATTCACCAAGGCACCCCCAGGGGTTACAAGAAATAATGGCCACAAGCTAGCAGAGAGCAGATTTAGACTGGACATTAGGAGGAACTTCTTCACAGTTCGAGTGGCCAGGGTCTGGAACGGGCTCCCAAGGGAGGTGGTGCTCTCCCCTACCCTGGGGGTCTTCAAGAGGAGGTTGGATAGGCATCTAGCTGGGGTCATCTAGACCCAGCACTCTTTCCTGCTTATGCAGGGGGTCGGACTCGATGACCTATTGAGGTCCCTTCCGACCCTAACATCTATGAATCTATGATCCCGTGGCACTATCTTCCTGAAAAAGGACTAGCTGAATTTTCTTTATCTATCCAAACAATCCTGCTCTACAAGAGCCAGCTGTTGTCACTGGGTGAGTCTACACGGTCATTAATGTGCAGTGGTTACTGCGCATTTAATTTAGTAGTTGTATAATCAAGTACTATATAAATACACAGTAACGAGTTACTGCGTAGTAGCACCAGCGAATGGCTTTTTAGTGACCCTACTGCGCAGTAGCCTAATAATACCGTGCAGTAGCAGATTAGCACTGCTTGTGCTGTGATGCGCAGTAGTGCAATATTAGGCTCCTGAGCAGTTAGCGTCTCGTGTAGGCATGCCCACTGTTCCCAACTGAAAGAGCCTAAAAATCACACTGCCATTCACAATATTCCCTCCTGGGAATGAATGTACTTCTTGTACGGAAGGAAAGAAAGGCATGGATCAATTAAATGTGCTGAAAGAAAGGACTAAATCTGGTCGATTCATGTTTAACAGCTTTGTGTTTTTACAACAGACCTGTGCTGACCAGCCAAGTGTCTAGCTGCAAAGTCTCTTTTACCATATTTACTTGATGTCAAGACAAGATTTTTTTTACTCCATTTAACGTGGGGAAAAGAGCCCCTCATCTTAGAATCGAGTACAAGGCACTACGGGGGCAGGCAGCCTCTGCTCTCCCCTCCACTCCCCCCCCCTGCTTATTTTTGTTTCAGCACCAGCAGGCTCCATCCCTGCTCCAGCCTGGAGCACAGAGCATGGCCCCAACCCAAGGCACAGAGCATGGCCCCAGCCCAGCCCTGTAGTAGCGGTGATAATGTCTGCCACCGCTGCTGCTGCTAAGGGTTTGGCTGGAACCCCAGCTGGAACAGGAACGGAGCCTGCTGATGTC